GAGGCTAAACCAGGCTCACATGATTCTAAGTGAAAGTTGGGAGCGTCACCTATCCCAGAAAGGAAACTGATTTATGTGGAGGCGGCAAGGGTAAGAGAGTGAGCTGGGTTCACGGCTCTTTTTCAGAAGATGCGTAGAAAGTCCTCGGATAAGTACGGAAGTGTACTCTAGTTTTGAGTAGGGCTTTCACGAGATCGATGTGTGCCATATAACTTGTTTTGGATAGCTCGAAATGCCGCGAAGTCAACTCATACTTTATTGAGAAGTAAACTCAAACTTTAGCAGAATGAGCCGTGCACAAAAAGTCAGCAAAGTTTGCTTTTTCAGATATGGTGACAAAGGGCAAGTGGCGTACAAACGGCCATGGCGAACCTATCACGGTGTCGAATTCGTGCCATAGCGTGGTGTAAGCGCTAGCAAGTCGCGAGATAGAAACCAGACCTAGTATGCACCTAAGTTCAAAAGATCGGTGGTACTTCTTTAGGAATGATCCTACATGGAAGCTTCAAAAATCTCTTAAAGGACGAATTCACGATAAGAACGAAGGTCGAAGAAGGGGGAAATTGCCTAGTTGGGAGACAGGCGGACCTCCTGAGGGTGCTGACCGACGCGCAATTGGCAGCGAAAGATTTGACCTCGGCGATCTAGCATGGCTCACTCTTGGCGCGGTTGGCGGGGTACGCCCACCGACCATCTAATCACTCGCCTCAATTTCTCGGGTTCTGGGCCGTTTTCCTCAGTTTTTCTTCTTTCGTGCATCACTGACCATCTCTAACTTAATTTGAAATGGGTTGCTTTTTCAGCGTTAATTCGTCCTTTAAGTCGTTGGCATGTTTCTGCACGCTTATTCCCCGAAAATTCCAACCTTGAGGAAGGCCTGAGCATATTGCAACGGTTGGTTAATGGGGCAATTGAGCAACTGCCTAGTTCCTTTCCACCTCATTAATCACCCTTCTCCACTTGTTTACGCGTCCTTGTTTATCCTCTAAAAGCCTTTTTTGTGTTTCCACTTATCTCCGATGGGTCATGTCCAGCAGCACCAACACAAAAGCTTTTGCAAAAAGATCAAATTGCTGTGCCAACGCTATCGCCTTCAGTTTATGAAGAGAGATATTCCTAATCGTAACCGTCACCTCGCGCACGTTGCTTGACACCGAGCGCCGGAACGGGGAGAGCCCACTGCAGCTCCCGATGTCGTCGCTTCCAAATGAACGCTCATTTTCCACTAGTCAGTTCCTCCACAGTCTCACAGTTAATCGCATTTTCGCCACCTTGCTGGGCAGAATTGAAGCTACCTTTACCTGGCCCTACCTTTTCTAACCTTGCAAAATACAAATGGTATTTTTGGGTTTTTGACAGTTGTCATGGGCGCTTCTGCACAAAACTCCTCTCCGGTCCCCCCCTTTTGATATCCGCATCGTTTTGCATGAGACGACCTTGTTGGGGCTTTCATGTGCACTTGCCTACCGCGAGGAATGCCAATATTATCTATACATATTATTGGAGAAAAGACGAGGCATAGCGGTCGCGTTATACGACGAAGCGTTATACCGATGGTCAGACTTCTTCACGAAAGCTCTGAACGAAAGGAATGAAGGACTTCGTGTCCCTCGAGCAAGGAGGATCCACTGGACCACTCTAGCACGCGACAGGGACGAATGGAGACGTTGCTGGCGCCCGCTCGAGCAATTCGATGATCAACGGGACGACAGGTGATACAGGTGATACAGAAAGTAGTCAGATAACAAGTACGGACCACAGATGTCACCACTTATCGAACAACTTATAGACTAGCTTTGAGTAGGACAAGGAAAGCAGTCTTTGGCGACCGGACGAAGTTACTTACCCGTAAAACACACTCACCTCAAACTTATCGTCTGCGGGTAGATCCCATTCAGAATAGGAACACGTAGACGCTCGAGAGGGCACACGCGTTACGTTCCTGCGTCGCGTCACAAACGACCAAATAAGTCGTGGAGGTTCCCGGGCGGATTCAAGTTACGAACATTCACAAATTGCAGCGAAAACGTGTAGGCGAGACGTGGTGGCAACGAAATCGCCTGAAATGATGCGTGTTAGTGTTACTCAGAGCCTCAGTAGTCTTCTATAGGGTCAGAACGTACTATCCAGCAAGAGGGAGGAATCGATGGATCATAGAGTGTTCCGTTGTCGAGGCGAGCCATCAGTAGATGTGGAAAGAAGTACTGAGACGGTAGTGAATGCTGACAAGACAGATGTCTGACTCGAGCTTCTCCTCAGGCAACCCGGCCGAGATTCGCTGGTCCTGAGAAGACGTGTTGACGAAAAGCACACTAATGCCGTAAGTTGAAACCTACTGATGCCATGTGTCAGTAGATTCGAGCCGGTTTTCTGTCGATACCATATACCGTCGCCGAAATTGTTCTCAACTCGAGTACTATTTATAAAGACCCGTCCATCGGTGGTGTTGTCCACCATGATACCATGTCCCCTGTTCCACGAAAATGTCGAATTCGCTATGAGCACCGGTCCTGAACATTATGACGTAAAATTTGGCCCTTACAAAGCTGTTTAGGGATTGAGAGGAACTGACCAGATGGCTCGTAGATGTAGAGACCGTCCCTGGCACTACGCTCTATTCGAAGTCCATTCATCAGTGGAGCTACGCCTTCGATCCATAACGCTGACGTCGTGTTCTTCGTGGATCTGTAAAGCAGAGTTATTTATTTATTTATTTATTTATTTATTTATTTATTTATTTATACGTCCAAATGAGACGCGCCAGTGAATCCAGTATGCGAAATCAATGCAATTATTAAGAGAAAAAAGCAAAGAAAGGCTGATCTAAGGAACCAGCAGTACCCATACGACTGAGAAGGTAAACCTGAAGTGAATGTGTTCGAGGCAAAAATCATAGGAGGAATGATCATCAGGGGCTGCGAAGACCTAGGCCTAACTGAGGCAGCAATGGTGTGATATCAGGCAATTACCTACACCAGTCGGCTATGGTGTCCTTTAGTGCCACAAGGGGGTCATAGGCACTTGCCGGGACTTTGGCACACGGGTATACCGACCACCCTCGTAATAATGAACGATAAAGACTGAAGCATTCGCCGGGATGCGCTACGCATTCTACTTTCATTCGGAATCTTAAGGCATTGATTTTCAGTACGGCCTACATACTAATGACTTGAAGGCGCCGGGCGATGTAGTCAGTATTTTCTTATACTCATAGGCAAGTCTGGTACCAATTAACCGAATAAGCAACTTAGGCGACCCGACAGGCATGCAAGACTTAGTTGATCCCCACAGGTACCGTCCCTTGTCCGGAAGTTTTCGGGCTACTTGAACAGAAATTTCCAATCGGTTAAGAAGGCATATGGTGCATGAAATCCACATTGCGGTGGCACCGTTCTAGCTCAGCTGGTTTCCGTGACTTGACCTAGCAATTTCGCGCTAAATTGAGGAAACCCTGGGCAATTCATTGGGATCCCGGGACAAAATTGTAACAGAACGGATACGAAGCTGTCGAATGACATCATAGTTTATCCTGTCATATGCTTGCTCAAGACGTCCTTCCTCTGTAAGAGGAGCCTTTTGACATCTCCTTGGAGTCTTATCCGATCGGCAGAAACAGATGTTTTTTTCTCAAATGTTGTGATGTGATTTCAGAGCTTAAACCAAAATCAGTAGAAATTACCATTCCATTTCAAATTTTCAGTGGCACATTTTAGAAGCAATTGCCGCGGCCAAACGAGCCCATAAAATGCCCAACAAAGAAAAAGGCCTACGAAGAAAAAAAAAGCAAGACAAATCTTCGGAAAACATCAAAAGTAAGGGCCTCCTTCATGTGAGGTAGTGGTACGGTTTACGGACTACTTGATTTTTCCTCAATGGTCCTGCCACGAATGGCTAGAGCACAGACGATTAGAGAACGGGTGAATGCCCTAGGACTAAGCCTTGGAGAGGGAGAGGAGCAGGAGCGCGCAGAGGCGGTTTAAAGGGCTGAGTTCAAGTAGTCCGTCGGCCGTAGTGGTACGACCAAGAGACAACGCATCGTGAAGAGAGAACATGCGAAATAGCAGGGCGTGTTGGATCGCGCAGACACAGTGAGAAAGCGCCGAAAAGCGAGCAGTAGCTCCCAGTCAGAGCAAGTATTCGAGACCACGTGCAAGGCCCCAGGGCCCTGTCGTACAATTTAGCGAGCAGTGGGAACGGCAGACCTGTAACCTTTATTAAAGGCAAACCCCGGGATTAAACTGGTGCTATTAGCGCTTCGTGGTGATAGCTTAGCTGCGGAACGACCTGAAAGTGGGAAGGAAAGCAAGAGAAGTCTTTGAGAAC